CTTTCTTTCTTTCTTTCTTTCTTTCTTTCTTGAGGAAAATAGCCGCATCTTTGCAGAGATGCTGTTAGCATCAAGAGTTCAAATTGCTTTCCGTCTGGCAATTTGAAGGTGCAGTTGTCTCGCTTGGGCAGAGGATGATGGTTTTGGATGCCATCAGAAAGAAGCAGGGTTTTTTTCTTAAAATGGACCTTCATATTTTACACTTCCCCAATCCCTGTTTTTTCCCGATCCCAGAAGAAAACATTACAGTGAACAGCCCAGCAGAGAGAAAAAGTTGGAAACTCTAGTTTCCAAACAGGAGGAATTTTTCCCCTCTTTTATTAGAAAAAGGAGACAAAAGACAGCAGGTGGGATCCGGCTAAACTGTTGAAAAGAGAACGGTGCAGCCTTTATTTCAAGAAAACCAAGCTAAAGAGACATTCAAAGAAGAACTGGAAAGAGTTATGAATTTAAAAGCAAGGTCAATTCTCCTTAACTGACAAAACTCCACACAAATCTTCTGTCTTTGCAACAAAAACATAATTTCCATTTATCCCCAAACGAGTGATTTTTCCACAGGAATAGAGACATTGCAGGACCCAATTTAGCAATTGCACTATTACATGAAAAAAAAAGCCAGGATGAAGGTAAAAAGACAGGAAGATATTTAACTCCGTTGGTTGGGGATGAGGAGGGGGCATTCATTTATGTATTTTCAGTATTTATTTATTTCTAGTATGTATGATCTGTTTTAAAGGGCTCTCTGTAGTGTGCAACATCTCATCACGCCAAGACAAAAAAAAAATCAGAATTAAATCCTAACTGTATTTTAAAAAGCCACCAAAAAGCAAAGATAATCCTCCTTCCATCCTAAAAGGGGCAGCCACTATTAGCCAGGTGAATCCAAAACCACATGGGAATAAAAACAGTTTTAACCTTCTTCACGGAATTGCAGGATTTTACTGCAAGAGCATGCCTGAAAGGATGTATAAGCTGGCTGACACGCAGGGGACATTAGATGTTAGGTCTGTTGGTCTGTGGCCAACAATGATGAGGGATCGGGAAGCAAGCTTAGAAAAGGGTGTTTGGCTTGCTTTTAACTTGGTTTGCACGTCCAGGAAAACTTAAGACCCTCACAAAACTCCATCGTGCGAGGATGCAATCATGGCTACTTCTGGAGAAAATGGTGATCCTGGTTTTCTCCCAAACCAGGATCACAGGGGAGTAGCAATCAAGGTTAGCTTCAAAAAAAGAACCTTCCCAACTCTGTGAATGCTATGAACCCCACAAGTCCCCTTCGGAGAGACCGAGGGGCACGGAAGGAACCAAGCTAACCAGGTTTACCCTCCCATCTTCCTATCCCACATCCTGGGAGTGGAGCATGGGAGCATCCAATATTCCCACCAGCTTTCCTCTCCCAAGTCCTAACTTGGCCTGATCCGGTTTGGCTTCTCAGGGGAAGCAAGACGGGACACGTTTTCGGATTGAAAAGCCCAGATCGTAAAGAGCGAAACCAGAGTTCCTCTTTAGTGGAAAAGCGAAAGGTCTCAGAGCTTGTTTTCACCCAGAAAAAAATATGGGGGTGATTAAAGAAATCAGAAGGGAGGAGAACGAGCTTCTTGTAACTGAGGATGTCGTAGGTTTATTTTTTTGGGGGGGAAATACTTTTTAGAAGCCCCTTTCCCCTCCCTCAAAGCGTTAAGAATCTGCTTAAAAGCTTCTGTTGTCCCTTTAAAGAATTTTCGTTTTCTCTTCCGAGTGTCTACTTTCAATCAAGTAGCGGCTTGATTTGAAGGGTTTTATTGCCCACATACAAAAAACAAAGTAGAACCTTCCTATCAGAGTAATCTACCTCCCGTAAACAATTCACCACCCAATGCTGCAAAGTAAAATGGGATGATAATGATGAGTTGGTTTCCAAACCAAGGAACAATTTTAAACGGGGTTCCCGTCCTGTTTTTTTTTTTTTTAAGCGACTTCACGGGTAGCTTCGTTCGCTTGGTTGGTCCGACTTGTGTTTTTCTCAAATTTAAGGGGAAAAAATCCCCCACCTCACTGAAGCTGTCCTGTGACTGAGCATTATTTGATCTGATTTTTTGCTAAGTGGATAATAACAGCCGCTGCACAGCATTTCCAGGGAAGAGATCACATTTAACGGTGTAAATATCTACTAAAGCAAATTTGGTAGTCAAACTATTTAGAATCACCTTAAAACAATGCAGAGTTTTTTTTTTTACCCCTAAGGGAGCCCAAGGAAATGTCATTTTTAACGGAGGTAATAATAGGTGGTTGTTGTTTTTTTAATCCTTTTGGGTAACCGCGGAATTGTTTCTTTAAATGCACACAATGTTTTAACTTCATTTTTTTTTTAAACAGTAAGAAGACAAGCTTGTTCAAAGATAATGTTTTTCCCTCTGGTATTCAAAGTTAGGCCCAAATTAATGCATTTCAGATCTCTCTTTTCCATTCTGAATCAGCGGTAAGGGAGAAAAAAGAGAAAAGATTAGAAGATGTTCCTGAAAACATTTTTCCAGGCTGGGATTTTTCACTGATTTTTTTTTTTCTTCTTCCTTTTTTGTCATTGAGCCGAGAAAGGATCGTGGAAAGACAGATGGAAATATTTTAATGGCTGAAAAACTGGTTCCCCCCAGCAGCACGTTTCTCATCTGTAACTAATTTATTTGCTAAGATTTCTCCTCTTTCAAACCATCCATCAGAGGGGAGGATAAGAGGAAAGAGAGAGTGTGGGAGAGCATTTGAAAAATATCTGGTCTTGATGAGTGGCGAAAAGACGCAGGTTTGCCCTCCTTTCACACAACAACCCCTCGGAAAAGTGGGGGTGAAGAAGTATTATTATCTTGTAGACTAGCATCTTTGACCTTTGGCTGCCTGGCAAGGGGAAAATAATTTTCAAATTGCTAATGACCCCCCCCTCCAAAAAACCAATCTTTTGGAATTGTTGGTACATTTATAGCTGAAAGGGGGAAAAAAGTACATTATTTATTTGGAATGAATGCTTCTCGGTCCACCCAGGTGTGTCCATCTGCAACTGCTCTTTACCTGCCTTTCTTTCTAGGTGAATTTCTGAAGATGATTTTGTTCCTGTGATTGACACCCCAAATAAACACACCCACCTTCCAGGGGAAAACAAGGTGTGCAAATGTTTACAAGTGAAAAAGTGGGGAGAAAAACTTCCAACCCGTTTTTTTCAGTGACGGTGATCTCCATTGTGTAGAGAAATCCCTCCGAAACATAAATTGCAAGTGATGAATTTTTCGAAAGGCGAGAGGGGCCGGCCGCATCTCCCTGTGGGCATACAATGTGGAATTCCACATTTGTTTCCTTTTAAAGTTTGGAAGCTCGTAAGCGAGTTGTAAGAACCGCTAAATGCTCGTGTGTGATTTGAGCTGGGGTTCATGGACCTGTAAGCCATGATACGAAACAGGAGGCTGAATCCAAAAAACAGGTTGAAGCATTTACTTGCAGCCCCCAAACTGCAGACAGGCCCATGGTCAAATCAATGGCATCTTCTTAAAGGTTCAGAAGAAAGAGGAAAAAAAAGAAACACATTTTCAGTTTATCAGCAAAGAAAAAAAAAAACCAGACATTTCCTCCCCCCAGTACCCTTTTATAAGTCGAATTTAGCACGAAGTGTGCTCCTAGGTTAGAGTTCAGGCAGTGAAATCCCGCAGAACAGTTTGTAAACCTGAAAGCTGATGAGTTATTTGGAAAAGGACTTTTTAAAAAAATCGACTCACCCTCTGGAACAGGAGTTCAATCCCGTGGAAAAAAAACACCACACAGACCTCTTGCAGCAGCCAAAGATTAAAACAGGGTTATCCAACCAAGTCCACAGGAGCGACAGCCCGAATCCAGGTTTAAATCCGTGTCTTATAAAATCTCCGAAAAGTTTATGTTTGCGAGAGCATCCCAGGATTATAAAAGAAAAACCAAAAAGGAAGGAGGGAGACAATTAGCAAACTTACTTTCCGTGTCGATTTGCAGAGAGATCCAAACTTTCAGTAAAATTGCAAGTAATTTTTATCTCTCTGGGACCAACCTGGTCAGCGTAAAATGCAGCAGCAGGAGGAGGGAAAAAAACCTTGAAATTGTCTCAAAGGTCCAGAAACAGACACGAAAATCACAAAGTTCCTGCAGGCTGGAGCAGTGAAGGTGGAAGGGAAAAAGTTAGGTTTTTAGACCAAACCTAACACAGCTTTTAGACACAGCTCTTCCTGGTCAGGGAGAAGCTGTTCAGAATTTGCTACTTCCCCAAAGTTTCCACCGCATCTTAAGGCAGAGTTTAAATCTGTTAGTCCGTCCTCCTCCTCCTCCTCCTCCTCCTCCTCCTCCTCCTCCTCTTCCTCCTCCTCCTCCTGCTGTCTCTGTCTTTCAGCTCTTCTGGCTCCTGTCAGTTCAGGAGGAGGAAAGCAAAAGAGAATTTTTTAAAGCATCTCAAATAGAGCAACAAAGAGGATTAGAGGACTGGGGACTAAAACATACAAAGAACATATAAAGAACAGTTGCTTGAATTGGAGATGTCTGGTTTGATGATAAGGGTGACCTGATAGCAGTCTTCCAATATCTCAAGGGCTGCCCCAAAGAAGAGGAAGTCAAGCTATTCTCCAAAGCACCTGAGAAGGCAGGACAAGAAGCAATAAATGGGTGGAAACTAATCAAGGAGAGAAGCAACTTAGAACTAAGGAGAAATTTGACAGCGAGAACAATTAACCAGTGGAACTGCTTGCCTCCAGAAGCTGTGAATGCTCCAACACTGGAAGTTTCTAAGAAGAGATTGGATAACCATTTGTCTGAAGTGGTGTAGGGTTTCCTGCCTAAGCAGCGGGTTGGACTAGAAGACCTCCAAGGTCCCTTCCAACTCTGTTATTCTATATTCTATTCTATATTCCAAGAGGCAAGAATGAGCGAGTTTGGGAGAAGAGAGGAGGAAAAAAAAGATAATTAAAAGCCACCTTTGCTGGATTTTGCACCCCTCAAAATACTTTGCAAGTTGTGGCAGCTTTATTGAGACCTCCAGTTTTAGAGGCAGTTTGACCTTTGGTTTTCTTCTTTCGTGTCCTGAATGCGAGTGTGACTTAGCTGGGCTCTGCCTTGGTGCTTCCCCTTGGATTAGAAGATTCAGTTCTGGAAAGGCTGGGGATGCCCACAGCGCCAGAGGTTTAAACGGGATCTGCCGGAGCCCAGTTGAAATCTCATTTCAAGGGTGGGTGGGTGTGGTTTGCCCCTTCTAGGAAACCAGCTCTCCTCCTCGGAGTTGAGCGAAACCTCCAGATATCGAAGCAGTCTATCGGACGGCTCGCTTCTTTCCCCGTGCCCTGCTCTCGGGGTGCCAGGGGGAATCCACGGAAGGGTTGGGCCTTGGGGTGGGCGCCGTGGAGGCGGGAAAGCCTGTTTTAGCGCAGGAGTCAGGGGTGCCACAGGCTTGGCAGCTTCGCTTCTCGGCTCCTGGTCGAGTGCCAGAGCTCGGGGAACATGTCGAGACAGGGCGAGAGTCCCGTGTGGGAGGGAAACGTCTCGGGCATCTACCTGTGCTCCGAACCCACACCTGGGCGCTCGGGAGAGGGGTGGAGC